AAATATAAACACCCCCTCACCATGAAAGCCCTCCATAAAGCTTTTAACACTCGGTTTCACCGCTTATTAACTAAGACTGGAGTGGAAGAAGCAATGTTTTAGATGATTTTCTCATTACACAGAAAGTTCGTACCATCTTCCACTATTGCTGAGGAGATGAAGACGATGGAGGAGGTTTCTGAAAACACTCAGTTTAAAAAAGAATATTAGAAACTGAGGATTTGATAAGAGCTGCATGACTCAAACGCTTCTACCTATTCAAATTTATACACAAGCAGTCGACGGCAGCTCATCATAAGGACGCTGCTCTCTGACCCCTGTTCGCCCAGAAGCGTTCAGACAATTACAGCATCCGGGAGGAGAAGGGGATTTAAAAATGCAATGTCTGGCTGATCCAAATCGACCTTGACTGAAACGGAGGGATTAACGCCGAGGAGCGGATCATTTGCACATTGAAGAACGCGGGTTTTGTTTTTATGTATGCATTTTTAATGCTTAAACAGAAGAGAGGCAGGGCTGTCACTAAAGCTGCTTGATACGGCGGCTCCGTGCCGCCAGGGAGAGCGAGGAGTGGCGGCAGTGAGACGCTGCCAGTCTAACCTTGACTCTGATGAGACTTCATCGAATTAAAATGTCAAGGAGGGCTTATTCTGAGCCTCTTTTACCGTCAGAGAAAATGGCAGAAATGTTCAAACATGCAGTTTTTCTAGTTTTTGAAAGATTTGCTCATAAGGGAATTCACAGGGGGTCAACATTACACTTTGTTTCTGTGATATTCCTTTGCCTGATCTCTTTGCAGGGTAAACATATTCATAACCTCGAAATTATAAAGCGGCATGTTTGTAAAGTGTGAGGAAAAGAATAGAATCTCTCATATTTTTCTTTCTTCCAACTCAAATCTGAAAAGTGTGGAGTGCGTTTGAATTTAGCTCCCTAAACCTGTAGAACCTGGCCTGTTTTTACCTACTGTCCTGTTGAAAGGTGACCTGCACCAGTCTCAAGTGTTCTGCAGTTTCTAACAGGTTTTCTACTTTAAATACCTCCAACTATCTTCCTATCAGCTCTGACCAGTTTCCCAGACTCTATTAAAGAACATCCTCCACACAGAATGATGCTGCTCCAACTATGCATTACCATGAATCATCTACAAGGGTTCTATCACATTACTCCACATGAACAGTGCATCTCTGGAGCTCCTCCAGAGACACTATGGGCCTGCTATTTGGTCTGTAGGTTCAGGGGGAAGGATTTGCATTTCCTCCATCTTCTTTCCAATCTCAGCAGATGGCTGCTCATACTTAGCCTGGTTCTGCTGGAGGTTTCTTCCTGTTACAAGGAAGTTTTTCCACTCTAACTGCATGTATTATCAGTGTGAGGGATTGCTGTAGAGTCAAAGATACAATGTAAGCAAATGTCTACCGTTGCTGCATGCTTATCCTGCAGAGTTGAATGGAATCAGCTGGTTTTCCTTAGATTCCTTAGATGATCTGATTGAAATGTCTCTGTAAAGCGCCTTGAGATGGCATGTGCTCACTGGAAAAAATCTAGATAAGTCAGTTTTTCTTAAAATAAGTGCATTTGTTTTTGGATTGAGGAGGTAAAAGAGACATTTTGCCAATGGAACGAGACAATTCACTCTTTAAATAAGAAAACACAATTACATTGTCTTATTTTAAGTGCATTTTATCTAATAATCGTATTTTAAGAGTAAAAATGCTCATTCAATTGGCAAACTATCTAATTTACCTACTCAAATTAAGGGTAAATACACTTAATATAGGAAACTGTTACTTATTTATAGATTGTTTTTACAGTGTTGTCAGTCGGCGCTATATAAAAATCGGAATTGAAATGAATCCATTCTCAGATGATGAACTACAAAGAGCTCTGTGGTCTTTTCAAACATCCATCCATCCGTTTTCTGTCATGCTTATCACAAACGGGGTCGCAAGGGGTGCTGGTGCCTATCTCCAGCTGTCTACGAGTGAGAGGCGGGGTCCACCCTGGACAGGTCGCCAGTCCATCGCAGGGCAACACAGAGACAAACTACCATTCACGGACACACTCACACCTAAGGAGAATTTAGAGAAGCCAATTATTCAAACATCAGGATTTTATCTTAAAGAAAACTAGTTTCACTTGGATCTAAGCAGGGATTTTAGCAGGAAGGTTTTAGGGTATAATAATACAACAAAGTCTGCAACATGACACAATGCAGAACATTTTGAGTATGAACATTGATGCACTGTTTCTGTCTTTTAGACATATTCTTATCTATCTTTAAGTCAGTGGTTATGACTTATTCTATTAATTAAGAACCTAAAATATTTTCTATTATTATGAAAACCACTTTGCCATCTCAAATTCTCCCTCCACTGACCTGGAATAACACAGCTCAACCCAGAGGCAGCAAACCAAAGGATTTAAACAACCATACAGCTGCAGCAATGTTTGTGTTGCTTTCCTCTGACCCTGTTTCATAGCTAATCTGCATCATTAGCCAAACCTGAAAGGCAAACTAACTCACAGCCTACAGGAAAGGAGATAACTCTCACTTTAATGGGAAGGAAACTGGGAGAGGTAGTCATGATCTTTAATATTTTATTGATAATATTATGATGGAATGGATTTTTATTTTTTAATTAAACTTAGTGAGAAATTTGTTGATAACACATTCCCTTCAACATCCTACTGCAACATCCTAGATCCCATTTGAAAGAGGTACAAATTTAGATATGACCTTATCCTCGTCTCTGATGTCATGATAATGTTTGTCAAACATTTCAATTATTTAATATCTCAGTTAAATACCTCCTTCTGGGTTAGAGAGGTTTGTTATTAAAGAAGGGAGGAGGGGACTGATCTGTGAGCCTGTATGATGGCAGCAAAATAGCAGCAAAACAAGAATAAAAAGACTATAATACAAGTATGTGAATAATTTTGTCTTACATTAATGAAAATAGTTAATTGAAACTGTTAGTGAGTCAAATATGTTGTGGGTAGAGTTGTTGTTTTTTGGAAGGTTGTATCTGTCCCCATTGGTGTCAATTACTGTACTTAAGTACACTTTTTAGGTATCTATACTTCACTCCATTACTTATTTTTCTTCCTACTTCTGACTTCTACTCATTACATTTTCACACAAGTATCTGTACTTTCTATTCCTTACAATATTAACCCTTTAAAGCCCGATCCAAGAATAAAACAAAACAGAAAATAACTTTTTTTTTTGGTTTGAAGTCATTATTTGGCCTTTTAACATAAAATGTAAAAAGAAAAAACAGAAATAGATTTTTGATATTAATAATTTATTACTATGCGATAAGTCAAGATTATTTTTTGTGTAGTCTTCTGCCCTCTNATATTCTTATCTATCTTTAAGTCAGTGGTTATGACTTATTCTGTTAATTAAGAACCTAAAATATTTTCTATTATTATGAAAACCACTTTGCCATCTCAAATTCTCCCTCCACTGACCTGGAATAACACAGCTCAACCCAGAGGCAGCAAACCAAAGGATTTAAACAACCATACAGCTGCAGCAATGTTTGTGTTGCTTTCCTCTGACCCTGTTTCATAGCTAATCTGCATCATTAGCCAAACCTGAAAGGCAAACTAACTCACAGCCTACAGGAAAGGAGATAACTCTCACTTTAATGGGAAGGAAACTGGGAGAGGTAGTCATGATCTTTAATATTTTATTGATAATATTATGATGGAATGGATTTTTATTTTTTAATTAAACTTAGTGAGAAATTTGTTGATAACACATTCCCTTCAACATCCTACTGCAACATCCTAGATCCCATTTGAAAGAGGTACAAATTTAGATATGACCTTATCCTCGTCTCTGATGTCATGATAATGTTTGTCAAACATTTCAATTATTTAATATCTCAGTTAAATACCTCCTTCTGGGTTAGAGAGGTTTGTTATTAAAGAAGGGAGGAGGGGACTGATCTGTGAGCCTGTATGATGGCAGCAAAATAGCAGCAAAACAAGAATAAAAAGACTATAATACAAGTATGTGAATAATTTTGTCTTACATTAATGAAAATAGTTAATTGAAACTGTTAGTGAGTCAAATATGTTGTGGGTAGAGTTGTTGTTTTTTGGAAGGTTGTATCTGTCCCCATTGGTGTCAATTACTGTACTTAAGTACACTTTTTAGGTATCTATACTTCACTCCATTACTTATTTTTCTTCCTACTTCTGACTTCTACTCATTACATTTTCACACAAGTATCTGTACTTTCTATTCCTTACAATATTAACCCTTTAAAGCCCGATCCAAGAATAAAACAAAACAGAAAATAACTTTTTTTTTTGGTTTGAAGTCATTATTTGGCCTTTTAACATAAAATGTAAAAAGAAAAAACAGAAATAGATTTTTGATATTAATAATTTATTACTATGCGATAAGTCAAGATTATTTTTTGTGTAGTCTTCTGCCCTCTGTTATCAGGTATATCTGATTGTGTGCAATAGGATTTTGAGCAAAGTTTTTACCATTAAATTATGCAAAAGGTGTCAGACGCAAAACATTTCAGAAACCGTATGTATCAAATATGATACATTATACATTATAGGGTTAAAACAAACGTTACTCGTTACTTTTGGCTTCGTCTTTAAAAATTCTTTCTTGTCTCTTAAATAAAAACAAAAAAAACAACATAAAATAAAACAAAATAGAAAAAACAAAACGGATATGCTCAGGACAGGGTGTGTAACTTTTGTCCTGCTATGACCTTCTTTCCTTATTTTTTTCATGTCTGAGGATCATCTGACCATCTGGGGATTGAAGTTGAAAGCAGTATTTTTCCTGGGAGGGTTAATTATTCTAATCAGAATTAAAGAAACTTTCCAGATACTCATATTCTCTGAGGCGTTCAATTGTGTTTTGGTGTGTTTTTAAACCAATGGGATGTTACAGTGATTTAAGAAGATAAGAATGGGTCAAAACATTGTCAGGGCTCTATGTAATTTCCCCCTCCACCCACCTTCAGGTCCCGTTGCCTGGCCTGCTCCATGTCCTGCATGGCACAGCGGTGGGCTTCCTGCAGACGCTGCTGCCGCCTCTGGTGCTCCGTCTGCAGCTCGTCCAGCTGCATCCTCAGGTGTTCCCTCTCCTGGCTGAACTGGTGCTGCAGCTGCTGCAGGGAGGACTGGGACTGGGACAGCTGCATCTCCAGACTCTGCTTCAGCAGAGATATCTGCACGGAGACAAAGGAGAACTAAGCTGTTTTACAGTAGTAGCCATTCAACATTTCCCTACTTTCCTTGATGGATCCTTTGCTGATCCTTGTCTAGTCCCCTACAATTCCTTTTTAAGCAGGTAAAATAGTCTTTCTATCATTTTGGACATAAGATCTACAGAGAAGCGTTATATCCTGGTCAGATCCTGTAATTCAATGAAGGGTGGAGTCAGTGTAAAAAAATATGCACGCCCATGAGAAGGCCAATGGTGGGAAGTTGGAGGGGATTTTGCTGACTTTTGAGTGGGAAGGGCCATTTTCAATGGCTGCTACTTTAAATCAACAAGGCTGCAAAACAGAGAGTCCATGAATTTAAATGCTAAACTACTGTTCATCATCAAGTCTAAGATCTGTTAATCCAGATAAAAGAGGCAGATAAGAAAGGGGTGGGGGTGATTAGTCAGGTTAAAATGTTTTTTTTTATCCTAAAGCTTGAAGCAAAGAGCTTTTAGCTTTATGCAAATAAGTTGGAGTTCAGGGCAGAACATAAACTAAAACTGCATGGCAATGAACTGCACGCTAAAATCCATTATTGGTAGGAAGCGGTACAACACAGTTGATTAGTCTGTCTAGACAGATTGCAGAAGCATGGTGAATACATCTTTGTCTAATGACAAACCTAACCTTGCAGAAGCTGCTAACAAAACAGCTGTAATGACAGAAAAGCTTATTTGAAAACCTGTGAAAACTTAAAAAAAAATTTAAATAACTTACTCCTGAGCAAATTATGCTTTGCATTGACAATTCGCATAAAATCCCCAGATGCAGAGGGGGGTGAGGAAAACTTTATTACAAGCACCTAAGCTCTCTCCTGGTAACCGTAGCTGCTTGGATAGAATGTTAATCTGCGAGCCGCTATATGTTTACTGAGCTCTTTTTCATAGAACAGGGATAATGACTGCCTCTGCAACATCCAAATTAAACCAAACGAAAACAACAGCCCACATGGGAATGATTTAAATTTATTACCCGGCATAATTAATTCATTTTTAATTTCCCGTTCTGTGTTCATTAGCCTTTCCTTTTAAGTCTTGCTCTGAAAATGTTACATATTTGAACCCAGAGAAAACCTGCATTTGCTGAAGTGAAAACCTTGATTTTAGAGATAAAAGACATGCAGATGGGGATTTAATGATTCAGTCATAGGAAGAAAGAGGGTACTCCCGTATATGTCAGGATGACAGAAATAATCCCAATAATTTCAATTCCTGAAAACATCAGATGAAAAAAAGGACATCCTACAGCAACCTCTCTGTTATCATACATATTAAGGCAAATTGATATTTAATATAAATTTTTGATGATACAGACTATCTCAGGTAATATAATCAATAGGTAGAAAATTTAGTAAAGAACATATAGTGTCATGTGACATAACTGAGAACCTAAACCAAACATTAAGAAGTGTCTTTTAATTCTTATGTACCACTTTGTTGGGTTTATTCAATGATGATTATAAAATTAATGTGTGCTTATGAAACATTTGTGCAAGGGGATGCTCCACTCCTGTATCATGATCCAGTCAGGAGACCATCCTGCCTTGTCATTCTGATGGAGCATTCTGTCTTCATGAACTGATCAATTGTTCTGTCAGAACAAAACTCTGTTTGTAACCATGCGTCATGTTCTGTTAATAAACGCTCTGCAGAGGAGGTCCAGTGGGAGACAGTATGTTTGAGTCTGGGGTTCAACTGTCTCTCCTTCCTGCAGGAATAGTATCGATAAGTCTGTATTTCAGTTCTTCTTGAGGAAAAAATCTATCGAAGAACCCGACACACTTATCTGGAACAAACCATTTCCATAAAACTGGAAAAGTGCTGGAACCCTCAGATGCTTTCAATCTGCTGCCTAATGCTACCTAATCCGTATAAGTTCAAGTTTTCCTTTCAATTTCCTTTTTAATAGTAATAAATCTTATTTGAATGATTTATTTCTTTAATTGTTTGTGTAAACTTTATGTCACTGCAATGTATTGTTCTTTTTGTTTTTCCTCACATATAGAAATTTGAATTGTGCTACTAAAATATGTTGTATAAATAAAATAGCTTTCCTTTTTCATCAGACCACAGAGTGCCAAGAGAAAAAAGTAGTAGTATATTAGGGCCTACAATAAACTCTTTCTGCTCTTTATCTGAAGGTTCATGAGTGTATAAGAAAGACTGATTCATGTTTGCTAGATGGAGATAGATTAATGCCAAAACTTAAGGAAAATTTGTCACTGGACAGCGGAGTCTAAAGTTCCTTTATTTAGACCCCAGAACAGCAAGATATCCAGTATAAACCCAGTTAAAGCACGGAGGTGGAAGTGTCATGATTTTTTTGGACACGTATAAGCATAGATTTCACCATGATTTCTGCTGTGTATCTGGATGCTTGAGGAAAATATCTTGAAAAAAGTAGAGCTGGACTCAACAACAGGATAATAAATCTTCCAAAGGCAGGCTAAGCCTGAAGCCATGGAAAGTTCAGACCTCAACAAGGTGCAGTGGTTTGATTGAAAACAGAACCTAGGTGTAAGAAACGTCTCACACATCCATCACCTGAAGGTGAGGCGTTGCAAATACTTCTCTCAGACTGATATCAGAGATTGATAGATAAGTAAAGGACAGCATTTCAGCACCAAGCACCTAGGAAGACTTGCATAGTAACAACAAGGACAGCTCCACTTGGAAAAACATGGTGGACGAGCGACAGCTCCTACTGGTTCATAAATCCAGGAATCTATAGCGATTTGGCGCATAAATATCTCTATGATCCACAAACTGTGAAAAGCTCTTAGAAAGAAATGAGTCACTTTTAGATGACATGAAGAGATTTTGAAATGAAAATGTTGGAAACTTCTATGTTTTTTACTGCTATATGTTGTGTGGTGTTTAAGCTTGTGGCCTGGGCTGGAAGGCCCTCCCTCTACTTTTAAAGTACAATTCAATAATTTCTTCATCTGTATCCAGATTTTATTTATTTATTTACTTTTGGCACCAACATAAAAATGTTTCTTAATAAAGGACTGATTATTCAGTATCCAATCTTTACACGGCTGTTTGTAAAAACCTGAACTGGAGTTACTGAACTGTATCATGGTAGAGCTCTCTGATGGATAAGCTAAGTTTCCGCCGACCTTGCTAACTGAGACTCTCCTTCCTTTAATGTCCCATCAGCTCATGCATCAAGGCGTCGCTGACATCACTTCCATCTGTTAAAATACAGGTCATTAGATTTTCTAAACACCATCCTGTCTGCCAGAGTGCATCCATCCTCAGGCTGACGGCTGATCTGATTCGGCATCAGATTAAATAAATATAGTTTCGCTGACTGCGCGGCGCGGGGAGAGGGCATCACTCACTGACAGCAGGAGTATGTTCTATGGTCGGCTGATGCATGTGCAGAAATGAACTTCAAGTGTGCATGATGGCCACAGAGAAGCTTATTTGTGCTGCATTAATATTACAGAGCAATGATTAAGAGGCGCGCCCGGGTGCTGCCTGTGTTTTACAGCACTATGTGATGAATGTGAGGTTGAGTCTGTGAGAGAAAGCAACATGTCCGCCCAGCAGACATCCAGTCCTACAGGCTGCAGCTGCTCTTATTGTTGTTCTTATCGTTTATTGCAGGCTATTTGTTCTCTTACTGCAGGAATAATTAGATCCATTCAGCTCCACAAAATCAGGTATTTAAACCAAAAAAAGAAAGAATTATTAGTTGTTGGTTGAGGATTACACTTCTTAATAAAATAAACATCTGTTTTCTCTCTAATGGATTTATTGTAGTTTTTATTCCTACGATTTAATCATCCTGCTTTCTGAAATTTCACTAAGATGGAGAAGACTTGGAAGAAAGGTGGTCACGATGTATAACCCCCCCCCCACCAAGTCCCACCTGTTCCAGCAGGTCCTCTACTTTCCTCTGCCAGCTCTCCCTGGCGCTGTTCAGCTCCTGCTCTTTGCTCTGTGCCAGCTGAGCCAGAGCTGCAGTTTTGTCCTCCTCATGCTCCTCTCTCAGCTCCTCCCGCAGCTTCTTGCACTCCTGCCTGTAAACAAGAAAGAAGAAACATTCATTTTGAGAACCGAAATCCCAATCGGCTTGATTAGGAGAAAATAAGTAAAGACAACATATTATTCATTGCTCAAAAATAAACGATAATTGCAGCTTCGGAGCAGCAAGTAGCTCTGTGGACCTCTTTCAGTGCCTCCTGATAATGTCGCTTAAAAGTTAACAAACAATTTAAATAGAAATAGAAAAAATAAATGTGTTTGTTTTGTTTTACATCTATATGATTATCAACATTTAAGAGAGGAAAAAAAATTAACCATCATCTTTTCCCAAAGTTTTCTTGATTTTAGAACCAATGGTTGGAAATAACATGTTTGTTAAATAGTGCTTTTATGAAAATCAAGTAGATATCAGACATGGGGTGGCAGTTTCATGGTATGTAGCTGCTAGCTCTATAGGTTGTATGATGGTCAAAGGAGGGGAACATCTCAAATTTTTCCCCCGTCTTTGAGCCTTTTAGATATTTTCCCGTCAGAGCATTCAAAACAATCCTGAGTTTCTCCATGGCCCCCTTAGACCACACTCTGACCTCCTTAACTGTTGGTTTTGCCCTGATTAGCTGGGGCCTGTATTCAGGAATTAGATCCTGCACTGCCTAGGACAGAACGCTGCGCTCTGAAACTCGTCAAACTAAGGTAATTGAGATTTCAGCTACCGCAACAAGACAGGCAGAGGCATTAAGGTTCCCTACATCTGTTGGGGTAGCAACAGTCAGAGGAGGCATTTAATAAGATCTGCATGAGCTCCCCCTCCACTATTCTGTAAATTCAAGTTTATGCCGTCTTATGAACCAACTATAACAAAAGGCATTAGTAAGACAAAACCTACTGAGAGAAACAGCTTAATGATTGAGCTTAAGGCTATTTTATCATGCCTAGTTACTATGTATTTAAAAAAGTTAAATCCATTTAGAAGATCTATATTAGAAAGGAAAATGGGGATCAATTAAAACAGATCCAACTCAGAGATTTCTAACCTCTTCTTCTTGTTGAACCTGGTACTGCGGAAACAACAGCTGAAGCTCCTGACCAGAGCAAACAACCCACACACTGACTGCTGCTAATAAAAGTCTGAGAACATTTAATTAGTAAAATATGACTTTCTGTTTCCTCGGGGTATAATCAGAACCTGACAAACAGAGTTTTTTTACACTTGAGGTGTTTGGCCCATTTTAAATGAAATCCCTTTCATTTCCGCCCCCTGGTATGGTTAATTTGCAGATGGGATATGGTCGAGTAAACAAACTAATAAACAATGTTGGCACATTTTATTCCTAAAGCATAAAGCCACTTTAAAGACATCGGGCCTAAATTGTTCGGTTTGGTGCTGGCATCATTGGTGTCAAACTACCCAGAAAACTAGTAACAGGTTTTCTCCCTACAAAGAAAACAGAATCTCTGTGTGAGTCTTTATAGGTCGCAATGTGGCTACAAGTAAAAGACTAAACACCGAAAGTTATTCAGGTCCACACTGAGAGAAATTATCAAATAGTTTAACCCTGTAATGCCAAATGTATCATATTTGATACATACGGTTTCTGAAATGTTTTGTGTCTGATACCTTTTGCATAATTTAATGGTAAAAACTTTGCTCAAAATCCTATTGTACACA